ATCAAACTCTGGTGGCTTCGTGTTGCTGAACTCTCGGAACATCAAAGAATCACCTCCTGAGGTCTCGCAGCTGTAAGGGTTGCGGTGGCTACGGCAGTGGCAACCTCGGTGACGGAAGCATAGCGCTTGTCAAAAGTCTTGATCAACGTGGTCTTAATAGACCCGAACATCTCTGGGATGGCCTCCTTGATTGCTGCGACCACCTTGTCAGCAATGATCTTGCGGATCTCATCGTCACTGGTACTCGACCTCTCGGGGTTGCTGGAGCCTGAAACACAGGTAACCACCATATTCTCTAAAACATAATCATGGAAATCATTATGGAGGCTAAAACGCACACACAATACTTATATGTCCCTGCAAGCTCCTTAGTATCCTAAGATTCCTTCTTGAGTCACGTACGGATCCAATGCTTTCAGTAGTACGGGCCCAATACTACCTTTAACCCCAACCCGTGTTTGTTCGAAGTCGTCCTCTTAAGACTCTAAGTCACAAGTACTCTATCCCACATGGATATATAACTAATCCCTCAACGGGTTTCTTAACTAGATATCTAGCCACTCAACCTAGACTATTCCTCGACGCAAATCACCTCGCAAGATCTTCGCCATCCTCGCCATCCGCTCCATGCACACCAATTGTACATGATATATGGCTCGATAGACAGTCTAATAAATGATTCTTCCTCAAGTCCACAACCAAACAAGGAACAAGAAAAAGGCTAAATCATGCATTCTAAGGCTGTAAAGTCTTAACCATGTACAACTAAGCATCATACCTAGAGCAATTAGCAAGGATGGGTTCAATTAAAGAAACGACTTCATAGGATAAGGCATCATAAATCAGGCAACTCTAGCTCATACTCATGTAGATACCTAGCCTACTATCTATCATGCAGTTCTAACAAGTCAGGAGTAATTCATTCTCTTAATATAATCAAGTAAGGGTATTTTGGGAAATCACTACTCAGGCTCAAGCTGATTGTACACACTGCTTTGTCTTGCTTTTCTCTTAAAGTTCTTTACTCTTTTAAAATATTTTTAAGAAAAAGGTTCATTTCTTTTCGAAATTTTTTAATTAATTCCTCGGTTTAAGTCCAGACATACCCCAGGGTGTGCCCGAATCCCTCAAACCAAGAATATGATACCAACTTGTAACAACGCAAATTTTCAAACATTTTTTTTCATTTTTAAATTTCTCAAAACATAGTTCATACAATCAACCCATGCCAAAATGTAATTGTCAAATACAAAATATCATGAAAAAAGTCAAGTATCTCAAAATCCACATAAACCCTAATCATCAAGCTGGTGTGTACAATCATGTCGGTGCCTTCCCGCGATCCCATGATGTACCTGAAACATATTTAATCAACACTGTAAGCACAAAGCTTAGTGAGTTCCCCAAAATACCATATACACAAATAAGTAGCCTCTCTTGGCTAAACCTCGATAAGGACCCTCCGGTCATGTGTCTCAGTGAAGACCCTCCGGTCTCACGTCTCAGTATGGACCATCCGGTCATAGCTCAACAGATACACAAAATAATATAACAGCATAAGTCACAAAGACAGAATACATAATAATACATAAACAGATAAGATCCTCTGGTCCATAACATGAATAAGACCATCCAGTCACATAAAAGTTACCACACAGGTAAGTATAGTGAGAAGAGTCACCTCTCGCTGGAAAGTAATCAATCTCGCACCCGAACTGCTAGTCTAGACTCCGCCTAATTATGTCATATTCAACTCTAATTAATAATTAATACTAATAACCTCAAAATTCTAGACCGGGTCTCTCTACAAAATCCCAGGATGGTGAAAAGACCATTTTGCCCTTCATTGGCCAAAGGTCCACAAATTAACCAAAAGCTCAAAAGTTAACGAAAGTCAACACCCATCGAGTACGTTGGGCGTACAGCCCTCTACGCTGGGCGTACAACCAACCATGCATGCATCGGGGGGTCTCAGCGCTACATTGAGGGTAGCTGGGAGTACGCACGACGTACTCCTCAAATTTCCACTCTTCACTTCACTTGGTCTTAATCTGTTAAGAAAAATGCTACAACTACAGATCTGAGCCGAATAAGGCCTATTACTTCATAAATTCGTGGACTTTAAGCCTTAGCATGGTTGAAAAAGTCCCAAACTCACAAACTCTAACCTTCTCAACACAAAAGCCCACATAACTCATGCATGGAGAGATTTAGACGATCAAGTTCCCATTTTTATGAATCTAGACAACCAAATACACTTAAAAGGACAGGATATATGCTCTGGAGTTCACCAAACTCACAAAGCTCTAAACTTGGGACATAAAACCCTAAAAATGGACCCAAAACATGAACTAACACAACAATGAGCAAGTTTCGAACTTGATACCTCTGGAAGATGCACCAATAAGAGTAGAATTTAGATCCAAGAGCTAGAAGCACAAGCTATCCTTCCTTCAAGGCTCCTTCTTCACCAAAAGCTTCACAAGAACACTCAAATGAGCCACAAACACTCACACAAGCTAGGAATACGAAATTAGGGTTTGAGGGAGGTTGGAGGTTGGATATGAGGCTATCATGTTCCTTAAATAAGGGCATAAAATGGCATTAGGGTTTTACTCTGAGCCTAGTACACCCAGCGTACTAGGTGGCCTCCGCGATCATGCAAAGTGCATGAGTACGTTGCGCGTACACATGCATACGCCCCACGTACTCAATTGCCACCCTTTCTCAATAAGGACTAGTCTTGACAAATATATAGAAGATTAAGGTCAAAGAACTATACCTCTTTTCGGGATGTTACACAAATATATGAACCACTTCCATGTTTCTTTATTCTCAACACATGCCACAACCCATGCTATAGGGTAGATGTGGTTGTTTGCATCTCTCCCAACAGCTGAAAGAACTTCTCCTCTAACTATACCCTTTAAAAAGCAACCATCAAGCCCAATTACAGGCTTGCACCCTTCTAACCAACCATCCCTTACAGCTTTGAAACACATATAGAACTTGGAAAACAAAGTTGTGGAATCTGGCATGATGTCCCCATCTAACCTCATAGTAAACCCAGGATTTGACCTCATAATTTTCTCATATGACCACAATCTCCCATAATGTTCAATCAGACTTCCTTCAATCTCTTGTAATGCAAATTTCTTTGCATTTCTACATTGCTCCACTCTCACATTTATGTTAAATGTTGTTATTGACACTTTAGCTTTCATCTTCCTTACACTCATTTTTGGGTTCTCTATAATTTGACTCATAAAATGTTTGCCTATCCATCTGTAAGTTACTATTGATCCAAACTTAAACACCCTATAATAATTATGTTCACTCACTAGAGATTTGATCTGAAAAGTATTTTCTTTACCCATCTAGGAGGCCCATAGTCTGAAGGGGCAAGATGGTGACTTATTCTTTTTGTAACATTTCACTAACAGTTTATCAGAGTCATGTTTTTTCAAACCATAGATCATACCCATTAGCAACTACATAGTTACTTAACATATGTTTAAGCTCAATAGGGTTAGAAAATCGCATACCTATCATTGGTTTCATCTGATCCCATGGTTGTCTCTCATCATACATAGGGTACTGGGGTGACACGTATTCATCATCTTGATCTTCATTCTCTGTAGGTTCACAAAGGATGTTTAAAAATCTATCATGTGCAATTTTGTTTGCTGGAAATGGATAGGTAGCATCATCTTCTTCATGATCAACAATATATGAATCTTCAATAACTGAATCTTCATCTTCATCTAGGTCTTCATTTTCACTTTCACTTTCCTTAGCCTCAATCCAGTCGAAGAAAGGTTCGTTTTGGTGATCCATATATACATTCATTCTCTTGTCATCAGCATACGCCAAATCCAAAAATTCCTTGTAATCACCCTCATTCACCGGTGTATGAATTCCCTAACCTAAAGACTCTTGTGGAAGGCAGAAATAGATGTCTTTGCTTGTCGTTCTGGTGAACTTGTGAAGGAATTCCATGAACTGCTCATACCCAAATGCATTGAAGTCAACATCTCGCACTGATGCTCTGCCGGGATCAAAGTAGACCAAGTGCTTGGGTGCAAACTGACCATTGTAGTGGAAATCCACTACAATGAAGTTCTGATTAATGGGATTTGGTGATGATGCCATTCTACAGAACGATTGAAGGAGACGAATGATCGATGGAGAATTTTGTGCCCTAATCGAGTTTATGGACCAAATGAGACTTCAGGGTAAAGTTTAACGAGAGGGGGATGACAAATCGGGGCCTAAATGCCACCTCATTCGCCACATAAGATAAAAAGTACACGTAGGATCGATAAATCCTTTGAAAACTGGTCATAAGGGGAACATTAATACAGTTCAACAAGTTAAAGGGTTAATAAAACACGAAATAAAGTTCAGTGGCCAAATGTGATCAAAGGCAAAAGTACCTTACCCTATCAACTAGTCATTATCCCAATCTTTTTTATTATTGTATATATATACAAAGTTTCCGTTTTATTGGTTGGAGTTCAACTCATAGTTCTAAAATATGTTACACTAGGTGTGAAACCCGTGTATTACACGAGTTTATAAAAAAAATTTAATATAAAATTATAACCATCACATATTTTTTAAAGTAATAATTTTACATAAATACAAAAAATATAATAAATAAAGTAAGTAATTTAATATATAATGTAAGATATTTAAAAGGTTGTAGGGCATTTATTATGAATTTAATAGAATGATCTACTTTATATATATAAATCTCATTAAAATGTGAATTTTAAATTTAAGAAAACGCAAAATACAAGAAAATGACAAATGGATAAAAAATAATTTAAAAGCTTTTCGAAAATGACATATCTCAAATTCAATGAGAACATGACATTTGGTAAAATTGATTTTCATTGATTAAGTTAAGATAGTTAAGATGGTTACTATTTTGTTTAAAAAAGATAAAAAGTACATTAATCTACGAGAAAATCGATTAAATTGAGTTGTTATATCATATGGAGGTTTACTATTGGGCCTACAGATAAACTAGCCCATACTCGTGTGGTTTTTGCTAACTCCCAATTTAAACCTGAAAAAACCCTAGACTTCTTCAATTGACTACTTGCAGGTTGCAGCAGGCGAATTCTTTACACTCACAAACATCCCCAAAAAAGGAGCTTCTGCTTCATCACAGGTTCGCTTCCGATCATTTTTTCTTCTATTTGATGAATCATCATTTCGATTATATCTCTGTGTGTTTTTGGTTAGCGTTTTACATTTATAAAGTCTATTAAATCTGAAAATTTGAAGTTTTTTTCTGTATTTTCGTTACAGAGAAGAATGTCGATCTCGGAGCTTGCTTGCACTTACGCATGTCTGATTCTCAGCGACGATGGCATCCCCATCACGGTGATTATCTTTTCTAATCAATAAATTTATGATTTTTTGTACTTTTTTTTTTGTATCTGATGATCATTATTAGGTTTATAACAAAATATGTAACTTGATGAAATTGCAACCATTTTTTTTTAAAACTACAAAATTGGATGTTTTTTCTTGCAGGCTGAAAAGATTACAACTCTTTTGAAGGCTGCTAATGTGAGCATCGAATCTTACTGGGCAGGCTTGTTCGCCAAGCTTGCAGAGAAGAAGAACATTGACGATTTGATCTTGAATGTTGGTGCCGGTGGTGGTGGTGGAGCTGCTCCGGCGGTTGCTGCACCTGCTGCCGGTGGTGGTGGTGCAGCTGCTGCAGCTCCTGCCGCAGAGGAGAAAAAGGTAAGTAAATATACTATTTTGTCCATTCATTTGCAACAAATTGTGTTTGGTTTATTATATCAGTTTAACATGGTTTTTTGGTAAATCATATGACGATGATACAGGAAGAGCCAAAGGAAGAGAGTGATGATGACATGGGATTCAGCTTATTCGATTAGGAGCATATTTTTGATAATTTTTTGTTGCAAGAATTCTAATATGCATGATTTCATCTTGTTTTGTGGTTGGTTGCTCAAAAAGCAGTGATTTTTGCTATTCTTTTTAAAACTGTCGATGTTTCTTTTATGCATATGTTAAAACCAAATTTTTAGGTTTAGTTTGGTATTTAGTTGTGTTTGATATTCGTTCCTAGAATGTTTTATGCTATCACATTTTATGAAAATTTGCAACTATATTTTTAATGTTTCATGAACTTTGGATTTAATAAGTGGGATAAAGATTAGTAAGCGTAAGTAACTCACCAAACTTATTTTTGTGTTTGGTATACCATTGAATTTATAGAAATTGCTCAAAAAGTACCAAGTTGACTGGTAGTATTGTTCAGTGAGTTTCCTCTGCCACATATTCTTCAACATGTGGCCGACTTACAACCATCACCCCCACCCTCACCACCTCACACTCCCACTACACCTATCACTAGTAACACCACCTCCACCTCTCCTTCATCTCTTACACCTCCATACCAACGCTCTACAATCAGTTCACGAGCTAAACAACCACTTCCAACTCCCTCTTATTATGACTGGCACCCAACAATACCCATTCCATACAAACCAGAGCACACACAAACTCCCTTAAACCCAATGCCTTTTCTGCCTCCACCACTTCCCTTTCTTTTGTTGAGCTATCCTCCTTCAAACAAGCCATTCAATCGTTGGCAACAAGCTATGCAACTTGAGTATCATGCTCCTGTAAAAAATAATACCTGGTCTCTAGTTCCTTGCCCCTCTAACGTCAACCTGGTCTGGTGCAAATGGATTTACCAGATAAAACGTGATTCTAACGGAATCATTGAGAGACATAAGGCGTGTCTCGTGGCTCAGGGGTATAGTTACGAGGAAGGCATCAATTATTTCGACACCTTTAGTCCAGTTATCAAACCCACCACTATTTGCCTATTCCTGTCCCTAGCTATCTCCATTGGATGGTGTATTCGCCAACTCAATATAAACAATGCTTTTCTTAATGGAGATTTAGAAGAGGCTGTCTACATGAAATAACCACAAGGGTTTATTGATCCCACAAAACCCTCTCATGTTTGTCGCCTCAACAAAACACTGTATGGTCTTAAGCAGGCGCCACAAGCTTGGTTCACCAAACTCAAAACATATCTCATTACTCAAGGATTTATGTCCTCGTCAATGTGGATGATCTTATTGTCACAGATACACATGCAAATTTCATTCAACGCTTTATTACACAACTACATCAGAACTTTGCCCTCAAAGATTTGGGCGATCTACACTTATTTCTTGGCATTCAAATCACGCGTCATGCTCAAGGCCTCACCATGAGTCAAGCTGGGTACATCAACAATATTTTGACACGTACTCACATGAATGATGCATCTCCCATCTCCACGCCTGCTGACAACCAGTCTCGTCTAACCCTGCATGGTGATCCCTTTTCTGACCCTAAGCTATATCGACAAGTTGTTGGTTCTCTACAGTACGCCACAATCACACGACCGAACATCGCCTTTGCGGTCAATCGAGTGTGTCAGTATATGCATTCTCCTAAAGTTCCATATTGGCAGGTTGTCTGTGACAACTGGCAGTTCTGGGTCAGCAAAAGTTAAACAAGTCAACGAGTTAAAATGTCAATCGTGATTTATCCCTTGCCTTTAGGGTTCTCGGCCTAGAACCCCAAAACATTGTGATTTCGGTTAGTACTTGGACAGAAATCACCATGTGATCTCGGTTGGTACATGGACCAAAATCACCATGTGATCTCGGTGGTGCTAGACCGAAATCACATGTGATTTCGGTGGTTCTATGGGGTTTTCGGTGGGAAAGAAGAGAAAAGAGAGTTGACTTCGTGACATGTGTTTCATCCTTTCCAACACAAAGTTTTACCGAGCGTGAATCAATGCAATTATCCAACAAATAACAAAGCAAATATCACCTTACCCCTCATTCCTTAAACATGGCCGAGAACTCCCCAAACCCCCCCCCCCCCCCACAATCTCCATTTTCTTCAACTTACTCCATATTCTCTCAAGAACAAGTCCAAGCTCTTCCTAGATAAACTTTTTCAAGTGGTTCTTGACAATTTGGTAAGTGTTTTCTTCATAATCTAGTGTTTCTACACACTTTTATGCTAGTTTCATCTCATTTACACACATTATCATGTGTTAAAAACTCTTAGGATAATACCACCTTCAAAGAGTTCTTCAACCACCTTCAAGTGTTCTAGGCTCGAAGATCTTCACAATCATCTCTTTATCCAACCACAACCACACTCAAAGTGAGTTCATACCCCCATATTTTTGAGTTTTTCATGTTTTAGGGGGGGGGGGGGGATACAAGTAAAGTTTGGTTTATAACACAAAAGTTTGCATGTTTTATTTCTATCTTGAATATGAAGCATTATTTGCAAGAAATATGAGACTTTCTAGTTTTTAGAACATTTATTTGTGGTATGCTAGTTTTAAAGATATAAAACTAGGAAAAACAAACATAAACAAGTTATATGTTCTTTAGAAAAAGGTTAAAACCACAAAGTTACAAGGATTTTAAGACTTTTATGATAAAAAATATGGTTTTACAACATATGAAACTATTTTGAGTTAAAATCCCAAAAAGGTTAGAAACAAGTCTTATAATGTCATTTTTCCCAATAAATACCGTTAAAAACTAGAAATTGACTTTTTCTTAGCAAATGTTCCCATACCTGTGTCAGATGTAAGATTTCATGATAAAATCGTTTAAAAACATCTAGACGAGTCAACTACTATGTATTTAAATAAATGATTATATAAATAGGCTTAACTAAACATTCATAATAAACTATGATTGGTATAGTTTGGAAATCATAAATACTACTTTATCATCTCGGACGAAACAAATAATAATTTAAAGGTATAATTATTTAACACTATGGAAAGGTAATATTTTCCACTTACAAAAAGGGGTTTTCATTACACTACACGTAAACCGTTAATACAAATTTTGTGAGACATCGTCTTCACGTACCAACCAGGGTACCTACAAAAGTCCTGTATTGTAACCAAAGTCTCGATAAGAGAGCGTGACACTTGTGTATAGATCTATACGAGACTGACAAACCCGCACCTAAACTGTTAGCTATAGTTAGACCGACAGGCCTGGGGTGACAAATGTCTAACATTCCGACGTCTGAAGAACGTCGTAACAGGCCAACTAGTCGTTAACATGGTTATAATAACTCACATGGGGTATTAACAATACATTTGGTTTACGGGGATAACATACATTCAAGTACTTTTATATAAAGATGAAACTTCATAATTGTATTCTCTAGTACAACACTACTTACATTTTTGGTCTTGGGTTTAAGACTGACAGTTCATTTTTAAAGAATATATTGGATATTCTGAAAGCACACTCTATCATTTTTCAAGGAAAAGCTATCGATTTCTTCCATACAAAACGCTTATGAACTCACCAAATTAATTGTTGACACTTTTCAAAATCACTTGTATTCTCAGGAAATCAGTGAACAGGTAACCAAAAAGGTTTTGAAGATGGGCGTAGCAACGTCACGTCATATATTTTTGTCATTTGTATTTGGCATCAAACAAACAACGATTTGAATACAATGTAAACTTATAAATTATCAATATGATGGTTGTATGGCTTTGATCACTCTTATTCAATTGTTATGATACTGTACATGAAAGTCATCCACCCGCATACATTTTTGCCGTTCTGGTTTGGGGGTGTGACAGATTGGTAGCAGAGCATTCTTTATAGTGAACTAAGTATATCAAACCATGTAATATATACAACTATAAATACAATGGAGCTAAAACACTCTGACTAAGAAGTATACTTTTAAAATATAATAGTATTTTTATAAAAAGTATACATACATGCATACATACTAGAAACAGTGTTATAATAAGAACAATGTAAAAAGTATTTAGATGAGTTAAACACTACGATTAAGCCTAGACAATTATGTAATCATATATGGGATAAATATAGCCTGATCAACTATATTTATACGAGATATGACTAACATGTGTTTAGGAATGGTCGTGGTGGGCAACGAATCTAAAACTTACCTACCCTATATACCAAAAAACTTTAGAATCAACCATAAAGATTAAAATACTATAGGAGTATTTTAGAATTTTACAGAATCATACACTTAAGCCTTTCATGTATTTCTCATACCTCTATTCTCGTACAGACGTCATGGCAGGGTTCCACATGCCCGAAGACCCCTATTTCCCTAACCAGGGAAATGGTGGTTGGATTGAAGAGGATCCCGAAGAGGATCCTGAGGAGATAATGGAGGAAGACCCCGAAGAAGATCCAGAGGAGGAAGAAGAAGACTAGGAAGAGGTAGAGGAGGACTAGGACGCAGAGTCCGAGGTCATAAATCCTCCCTATGTCGCTCGGGTTCCCGCACATCGTTTGGGCTACCAGGGACCCACGCCCCGTTGGGCGGAGGACCTGGAGTGGTGGAGCAGACAGCAACACCAACGTTCCCCATACGACATGGAGCGAGATTTCTATAACCTCAGTCACATAGGACCGGCAGACAGGGCCCTCCTTATCATTGTTCAGCGGATCACGCATCTCGGAGATCAGACCAGGGCGTCGGCGAATCGAATCTTGGAGTTGGGGGCCGCTAATGAGGCCACTGACACATGAGATCGACGACTAGAGAGGGACTACCCCCAGACATGTAGTATCATTAACCGCCTCCATGAGGACCTCACAACCACTCGAGTAGAAACAAGGGAGTAGCAGGAGAGACACTCGACTCTCGAGGAGAGGGTGATCGCGGCTGAGCGCCGAATAGCGGAGATGCAGGCCTCCATGACTACATCCCATGGCCCACAGGAGACCACCCGCCGCGAGTAGGGCTTATACTACTCATGTATTGATTATATTTACGAGTAAGCGTTGGTGCTACTCTTTCATGTAGACCTTCTTTAAGGTTAATTTTCACACAACTATGTACTAGTACTATATTATCAATGAAATGGGCATGCATTTTATTTCATTGAGTGTCACTATTTGTTATGCAATTTTCTACTTATTATAGTAAATTTCCATTATGAATTGCTTGCAAATTACAATAACAATGTGACTTACTACATATATAATCGAGACATTCCATTACGGTAATA